CAGCTGCATAGTATTGAACTTTCTCTTTGTTCTTCAAAATGATTTCCAGAAAGGTTCTTTTACCTCTAGACATATGTATTTTTGCTGCAATTAGATTCTCACCTAAAGAAGCAGTGAGCGATGCAATTATATCATTAGTAGCGATATTGCTTAGATTTTGTATGTCCAGAATGAGAGCATTTTCATTTTTGGAGTAGATTTGTTGTCTGGAAGTAGACTTTATATAAGCTGCTTTCCCTCCTCTAAGTTTGGCAATGAGGTTAGACCACTGTTTAGATTTTGGTTCTGGGTTAGAGGTTCTCTTGTTTGAGTCCTGTTCAAAGGTGTCTGTGTTTCTGTGAGTTGGATCTTCTAATTGGTCCTTGTTAGGTATGTGCAGGTTGTTTTGTTTATTGTTTTCCTTTAACACATGATTTGTTGTGTTTGTATCTGACTCGTGATTTGTTGTGTTTACATATTTAGTATGTGTTTCTTGGTTTCTTGGTAGTTCTTCTGTAGTTGCCTTTGTTGCTTCTTTAGCTTGTTCTTTTTCAACTTGACTGGCCTAGCTTGTATCAAGCATATTAGGGTTTATATCCAATAGTATACTTGTATCTGTTTTAAGATTGCTACTATTGGTGTTGCAGTTGTTGTCTTGTTTTGCAAAATTTTCTTTGTTTTCTTCAACTTTCGCAAAGTTGAAAATTTTGTCGCTGTTTGAAGAGAGTCTGGCCTTCTTGTTGTTTGTTTGCTTACCCATGTCTAAAGTAATAAGTTCATATTTTCTGGACCCCGAGGTCTTTGTCTCGTTAGGAAAGTCAAAGATAAAACAAGAGTTTTTTAGCAAAATTTTGATTTTGGTTGTATTTCCGGAAGTGAACTGGAAAGAGTTTTAAATTAAAAAAATTATTGATATTATTTTAAAATAATGCCTATAACAAACAATACAAATTTTACATTCGGCTTATTCCTTCTCATTGGTATCTTGATAATACTAATATGTCTGAAGAACTCTTTTTGAAAGCAAATAAATTTTATGATGAAATGTTAACTGAAGAAACAGCCTCTCTAATCCTTTATTTGTGTGCATTTAGTAAGAATAATCATAATTTTCTTGAAGAAAGTCTTACTATGCTTCAGCAAAGAAAGATTTATAGAGAGTTATATTGTATTTATAAGAAGGTTCTTAATAAAGCCTTAACAAGCTGATCTAACTCAAAAAATTTATCTGAAGATGAAATTAATAGCAATAAAGAAAATGAAGAGTTTGTATTGCAGAATTCTAAAAAAAAATGTGGAAAAGGTTAGCTAGCAGGTACTAAATGTTTCAAATTAGCATATAAACAAAGAAGTACAAAAAACAGCAAAAATATTGTAAAAAATATGGTACAGTCAACCATTACCAAAAAAACTATAAAAAATAATTTGTATTAACAGAATAGTTAATATATAAAATGTATTGTTTAATAGCACATATTATATATCATTTGTGAAAGTTATAATTTTAGGTTAAAGTAATTTAGTAATAGCAATTCTGGATCGATTTGATATTATACTGTTATAAAGTATTTATGAGAAAGTTTCTATTTTCTATACTTTATTTTTTACTGGTCAGTTTAATATATTATTAAAGTTGTAAACTATAGCAATTTACTGGTAAAAGTGATGATAATTTGGTAACTTACCATTAAATTTTATAGTAACTTACAGATAAATCGCTTTGATAACTTACAATGCTAATCTTATATAGGAATACTATAGCAAAAAAGATGCAACTATATATTATATAGTCCTATCCCTGCTTTTGCTATAAGCATTCTCATATAAATTGCAAAATATAAACTTAAGTCTCATTAATAATAATTATTGAAAGACTGTATTCTCAATTATTAATGATGCTAGAATCAATACTTGAGAATAAAATAACTAGTATGTATTAGTGTAGATATATACGTACATATATATATACATATATGCATATACATATTAACTGTCTAATATTGTATATATATACATACATACGTAGAGTATCAATGCTAAAAAATATATAGTATTTAGAATATGTTAGCTAGTAATGCTGCTAAATTAAAGGTTAAGGTTAGAGTTTGGTGAGTTTATAATATATTTTGTTAGAACTTGATATTAGCATTTAATTAGAATGTGGAAGTTTGTTATGTTTTACAGATTTGATTAGATTTTACATACTATTTGCTACATCAAAACTTGTTTATT